ATAAAATAAATCCCATGTATACGTAGATATTCTATAATTCTGAGAAGCCTTAAAACCCTTTCGGAACGATAGGAAGCCTGTTTCCAGCATTGTGACGCTTGTCGTAAAAGGTGAACACTCCCGTAGCAAGTTCGTTTTCAGCACGTGTCAAACGCCGGCCATAGAGTAACAACTTAAATGTTAGGCATCATAAAACACTGTATTAACGACTTTTCGTTATTATTGTGGTGTCTTGAAAAAGACTAGCGAGCACTGACCTCTATATATACAAGTAATATATAGAGGTCATTGCTAGCGAGTGTTCATTACCGACTTATTGTTGAGATGTTTGTTAAGCAATGTTAACTACATTGTTAACCTAAACTAAGCATTTAAAAAATATATATTTATATTTTTAATAATTATCTTTCTATAGTTTCTTTAAAATGTTTCAGAGCTTCGTCCAACGCCATGTAAACTTCTTGAGTGTTAGGTGCTGTAAGTTCCATAGACACTCAAGCGCTCCACTGTATCGATTTATGTAGGAAATATATATATATATATATATATTTAATACTATATATACTAATAATACAGTATACATATATTTATATCTAGTAAAATTGCAATAAAGATTATAATTAAAATTACTAGTGGTGGTTTCGTGTGTCTTTTTATATTTTCATCTCCTTTTACGTTCAAACAATTTTCACTTATTTTATTTAGGTACAAGAGGAGATTATGGTTGTGGTCAACTGACAAAATTAAAATCAGCTGGATTGCGTGCAAGCTCGACTTTAAATGCAACGAACTTAGTCACATAAGCGTATAAATCTCAAGGCGAAAGTTAGTGAGTGTTGCCAGTGATGACTTATGGAATTGAAACGTGGTTCTTTATTCCTATCCGAATAAGAAAACTACAAACTTTAAGTCACTAAGCGTACGATAGAAAGGGCTATGCTCAAATTTTTTTGTGCATATAATCTGTAGCGAAAATTATCAAGAATCAAGTGGCAATGGGCCGGATATGTGTCGAATAAATGAGAACGGGTGGGAAAGAAAGGTTCCCGAGTGTAAGCATCATGCTGACAAGGGTAGTTTTTGGCAGTCGCCCACCAGAATTAGTGATGACCTACGATTTAAATATTCAGATGCAGGTGGCTTAGGATCGTACGTCGGGAATCTATTGGGAAGGCTTATATTAAGCAGTGGGTTTGTGATGGACTGAAATGTACGCACACATATGCACCATGCGTGTGTCTGTGAAGAAATTATGTATTTATCTATTAAACACTCTAATATGACTAGTGTTATTAAGCCATAAATGACTTAACGTATTGCTTTAGCTTAACCTGTTCCTGTATATATATAGCCTGTTCCCGCTGAATTGTATATAATAATAATAACCACGTTGTAATTGAATGAAAAGATGAACGCTGGGAAATAATTTCACTATATAGCTGTACTCAAAATAGTATCTGTTAATCAAAGACAAATTATAAAATTCAAAACACGTCCCTCTGCTGGGCGTTTGTATTTCTACGGCTACAGAGCATAAAAGGTCAATCATACACACTGCTCTATTGCGAGAAAGTAAACTTTAGATTTACGTCTGACAGGGTCTGAACTTAGGTTGGCAACTTAAGTACGAATCAGCGTTAAAATTGCTTCCGTAGTTAGCATATTTCAGTAATGTAGAGTTACCGATATGTCTTGAGAAATATGTCTTTGAGTGCAAGTATTTTCTCATTTCAGAGATGTGTATATTAAATAACACGTATTCATTTTCGGAGCTGCACGATCGAACGATTTCCTCGTAAATACATTACAAATCAGTATGAAGTCTATTACATGAACGGGTCGGCTCAGAAAAGGACCACGTTCACATAGAATAATAATATAAAAAAGCAAACTTTATGGAGCTGTTCATATGGTGAGTGTTAAGAACCGAAAACCCATTTTCTTGGTAAAGAGGTATTTCCTTTCAGTTCTCAGGAGTCAGGAGTAAACTTTTTGTGTTGTTTTTTAGTCCAGGTTGTTCATGTATTCATGGACCACTATTAAATATCAGGTAAACTGTGCTCTCGTTTGTTACCCTTAAGCTTATGAAAATGTTCTGTTGTAGTTAACCATGCCTGGTCATGTACAAACTAACCATAAGATTGAAGTCGCCTAGGATAATAAAAATAATGAAAAATATTTAATTGTAAATCAGTGCCACGAAAGAATTCTAAGACGATTGAATATTTTAATATATTTTTTTGTTATTTTCTTGCCATTGCGGCGGAGTTCTAGAAACAAAAATGTCAATTAAGCTTTCATTAGAATTTTGCCGTTCGCGAGAAAATAATTGTTCTCTACATTTTCCATGTTGTTGCTTCAAATTGGTTGGTTATTAGAAAATATTACGTTCTTAATTGCTTTTATTAACATTAAAGTAGTTTGGTGATCGCAGTAGCAGACGTCTCTTGCATTTCCCGTGTTAATATGTGATGAGATTACATTTATATTATATTCTAATTTAATAATGTTTATCCCATAGCTGCAAACATCATTCTCATCATTCTCTAAACCATTTCCCATTATCTGGGGTCGGCGCAGTAAATCTTCTTGTTCCATTCCTCTCTGTCAGCCGTCATTTCCATACTTACTCCTTTCATTCTCATATCACTCTTCACACAATCGATCCATCTTTTATTCGGCCTTCCTCTGCCCGTGTGTCCCTCCATCCTCCATCCCATAGCTGCAAACATCAAATATAAAATAAATACCTAGTTAATTATTGATATCTCAACGAGTCTACTTTGAAGTACAAGTGCTCCTTTGCATTGCAAATTTAAATTGCAGAGCCTGCGGAGATGATATTATTATTCTAAGAAGACTAAATAGATAAAATGATGCTTAAGAAATGTATGTTAATTCATGGTTCACTGTTTACAGTAGACTTTGTTATAACTTAATATAATTTATCAAATAATAAAGTAGCATTCTTATACGGATATTAGCTAATTAACTTTTATCATATGATGATTATCTTTATGAACTAAGGTAACGGCTTACCCTTATATTCCTACTCCATCACCATCAGTGTCATCATAAATTTTCAAATGAATATCTTTTTTAAATCAATCCCATGCAAAAGACAAACAATTTTATGTGTATTCGAAAGTATTGTATCATTTGTTTTAAACAAGTATTACATTTAAACTATTATATACAGAAACATTTTATTGCCTTAGTTAATTAAATCTATTGATAGACAAACTTTTAAATAACCATTGGCGTACGATACCGGTGTTTAAGGAGAGCTGAATGATATCAAATTTAAACTCAGTAGCAATACCACGTAAAAGTTAAATTTTGTTAAAAGATACGTGTCGAAAGTTCTTGATTCTTAGTTATTCGAAGATTGATAGTTTCGAAAAAAATGTTACCTATAGTTAAAGTTATTAGCCCATCGTAAAGCAAAAACTTAATACTGTTACGAGCTTAGGGTTCGTGACAATAAAAATTGCCGATTGAATTACCGAAATTAACGCTTTAATTCACTTTACACTAATTAAACTTAAAACACTAATAATAAATCACACTGATTTACTTTATTCCGCTCCGAAGCTTCGCTTGTCTCGCCAAATTCAATACTTCCCCAATCGCACCTTGCAGCGCCTATAAATATACATTAGTACCGAATCATCCAGAACATTCAAGTAAATACGCGCACCAATCGATAAAGCGCCGAAAGTTCGAGAGTCAGCTTCCAGAAGCTTAGATCTTCGTTTCGACAACAGATGGCGCTGTCGGTTGAAAGATTAGTGATGTCATTTTCTGGAAAGCTCTCCCCTCGCTCCGTTACTCTACACTAGATGGCGCTAGTGCCAGATGTCAACTTAGCCGCGTAACACTGCCCTCTCCTAAGACATGCTCGTCCCGAGCATTATCGGCCCCATAATAACGCGCCAGGCGATCCACATGGACGATCTTAGGAGTGCCCCTTGCGCCCTTCTGTATCCGATAGGTTACATCGTTGATCCTGGTCACAATCCGGTACGGGCCGTCCCATTTAGCTTGAAGCTTAGGAGATCTCCCTTTGCTGCGGACCGGATTGTGCAACCACACTAGTGAACCTTCGTCGAACCCTTTGTTGTTCATTTTGCGGTCATACCGGGTTTTCATCTTTTCAGACATTTGCTGGCCCGATTGTCTGACGTGCTCAAAAATGTCATTCATTTTGTTCCGCAAGTCATATGCATAATCGGTTATACTTCGTGGGGCATCTGGTGGTATCCCGGTGATAAGGTCTGCAGGCAGCCGTAATTCTCTTCCAAAGTTTGCGAAAGCTGGTGTCACTGATGTACTTTCGTGAACAGCGCTTCGATATGACAACAAAAACGGTTGTATGTGCTTGTCCCAATCTCGTTGCCGGTTGTCTACAACTTTTGCTAGGTGCCTCTCCAATGTCTGATTAAATCGTTCTACCATTCCATCAGATTGCGGGTGATAAGAAGTCGTTCTTGTTTTATGAGTACCCATAACTTGGCAAGTTTCCTGGAATATTTGAGACACAAAATTCCTTCCTTGATCGCTGTGAATCTCTAAAGGTACTCCAAAACGACAGAAGACTTCATGAACTAGTTTATCTGCAACTGTTGAAGCTTCCTGATTTGGAATGGCGAAGACTTCTGGCCACTTAGTGAAGTAATCCATCACAACCATGAAATACTTGTTACCGCTTTCACTCTTCGGAACCGGCCCCGCCACGTCAATGGCTATTCTCTCCCATGGTGCATTATGTCCAACATTGTACAACCTCAATGCACCTCTACTACAACTCTGAGGTCCCTTATCAGCCGCACAACTTGTACATTTGCGACACCAGTCCTCGATATCGTTTCGACAGTGGACCCAATAAAACCGTTCCCGGATCTTCAGTAGAGTTCGTTTAACTCCCAGATGGCCTCCTGAACAATCATTAATAATAATAATAATAATAATAATCTTTAATCCATCTTTAATCGTCACAGAGCAAAACCTGGCAGACCGAGTTCGGTATATCTTGCGCTCAAATATATTTGATGTCGCCGAACTCGAACGGCTACGACGTGAGGCTGTTCCCTCGTCGGATGAGAATGCTACGGCTGAGGATGCGGCGCCACAAATGGTAGAGCAACCCGCAAACGTGGATGCCGCCGTGAATACCCCAGTTGTGGTTGATTCAAACGATGATGGAACAGTCGCCCAGGAACTGGAATTAGAGCATATGAGGAGTATATTGGAAGAGGCGATTGTGGAAACGCGCAGTACGCCTCTCGAAAATCGACCGCGACTTCCCCGCATAGCCCTAAGCAAGCGGAATCGGGCTGTCGTGAGGGCTCTGAACCCAATGCTGGTTACCTATTTGGAAGCCAGCCGGGACCTTTGCGAGACGGACTCAATTCTTTTTGGCGCCGCGCTGGCAGTCTGCCGTATCATAGGCGCCAAGGTTTCCACGGCTGGACGCGCTACTGGCCATAGTAGCGCTATCCCAGCATGGAGAAGAAGAATTGAGGAACGTATCGCAAAGGCTAGAGCTCTCATCGGCAGACTGATATGCTTCAGATCAGGCAACAACAGGCCAAGAATTGTGCGCACCGTCAGGATGGCGTTTGCTGGGACAAATGTCAGTTTGTCCCAGCCGGATATAACGCAAAAACTGACGGAGCGCATAGGTGATCTGAAGCAGAGAATCGCTGCTTGGGGAAAGCGGATTCGGCGATATACCGAGAGGTCGACACGGTTCAACCAGAATCGTCTCTTCCAGAGTGATCAGAAGAGGCTCTATGAATCATTGGAGCGACCAATGGTAAGTGGAACGGGTCCAGCACCGGATCAGGCCGACACTGTAGCATTCTGGCGCGGCCTGTGGTCAGAGCCCGTAAACCACAGCGAGGGCCCTTGGACGGAAGTTGTGGCGAGTCAGTGTGCGGGTATTACGCCCATGGACCCCGTCATCATAACGCCGGATGACGTAGCTGAGGTGGTTCGTAGGGCCCCGAACTGGAAAAGTCCGGGGCTTGACGGGCTGCATCACTACTGGCTGAAGGGGTTCATGGTGTGTCACTCTGTGCTCGCCCGACAGTTTCAAGAGGCTCTCAACCAGAAGTCGCTCCCAAGCCTCTTCACTACTGGGATCACTCATTTAGTTCCTAAAGACCAGGGTACCACAGACCCGAGCAAATACCGCCCCATCACGTGTCTACCGACCATATACAAGACACTAACATCCATTTTGAGCGCGAGAATCACTTGTCACCTGGACTCAAATCAGGTGATGTCGCGCGCTCAAAATGGATGTCGGGGCGGTGGTCGTGGAACCAAGGAACCACTCCTCATTGACGCGGTCATTGGCAAAGTGGTGAAACGCAATCGTCGGAACTTCTCCGCCGCCTGGATAGACTACAGAAAGGCATTCGACTCGGTGCCCCATACATGGCTAAAGAGAGTCCTCGAGCTGTACAAGATAGACTGTACAGTTAGAGACTTCCTCGAGCAGTGTATGGGGCAGTGGAGTACGATCCTTTGTCATCTAGGCGAGCGGATGATGGCTGCGGAGAACCACATAAGGATAAGAAGGGGTATCTTCCAGGGCGATTGTCTGAGTCCAATCTGGTTCTGCCTCTCTCTGAACCCTCTCAGTACCTTACTGGAGGGCTCCGGGAGGGGATTTCAGCTACGGAAAGGAGGGACAAAAGTGACCCACCTTTTCTATATGGATGACCTCAAGTTATTCGCCTCCAGTCGCTCCCATCTTATGGAATTGTTAAACATCACTTGTGAATTTAGCAATTCTATTGGAATGGAGCTGGGAACGGATAAGTGTGCGGTCCTCCATGTTGAAAGGGGGACGGGTTGCTAACTCTGAGGGCGTAGACTTATCTATGCCCGTCAACTTAAGGACCCTTTCCGAGGCTGAAACATACCGATACCTGGGTATGTCACAAAACATCGGTATCGATGAGACTGGTATGAAACAGTCAGTTTGCGACGTGTTTTATGCACGCTTGACCAAAGTGCTTAACAGCCTTTTGTCCGGTGTGAATAAGGCACACGCATATAACGGCTGGGTCATGCCTGTCCTCATGTATACCTTTGGCATACTCAGGTGGACTCAGACTGAACTTAACGCCCTGGATAGAAAAGTCCGCACTACAATGACGTCCCATAGGATGCATCATCCGAGATCGTCGGTAATGAGGCTGTACTTGCCGCGGAAGCATGGTGGTCGTGGCTTCTTGAGCGCGCTCACCATGCATAATCGCGAAGTGTGCAGCCTCCGTGATTACTTCCTGGCGAGATCGGATGATCCATTCTATAAGGACGTCATTTCTTGTGATAAAGGACTTACCCCTCTATCCTTAGCCAACGAGCAATGGCAAGACCCGGCAGTGCAGAGCATTTCCGACCGGGAGACAGTATGGAAGGAGAAGGAGCTCCACGGGAGGTTCTACAAGGCTCTACATGAGCCTTTCGTAGACACAGTAGCCTCCCTCCACTGGCTACGCTTTGGTGATCTCTTCGGGGAAACCGAGGGTTTTGTCTGTGCAATACAGGATCAGGTTATTAAGACCAACAACTATCGGAGATACATCCTAAAGGATGGCACCGTCGACATCTGTCGAGCTTGTCGCCATCCCGGTGAGTCACTTAGGCATGTTATCTCCGGTTGTTCGGCGCTTTCTAACTCTGAGTACTTGCACAGGCACAACCTAGTAGCCAGAATTCTACACCAGGAGCTCGCTCTGAAATACGGTCTCGTGGATCGGAAATTGCCGTATTACAAGTACTTGCCGGAAGCCGTGCTCGAAAATGATCGCGCCAGGCTCTATTGGGACCGTGCCATCATCACAGACAGGACTATTCTTGCGAATAAGCCTGATATTGTGCTGATGGACCGGGCACAGTCAAGGATATTTTTGGTCGACATTACCATTCCGTATGACGAGAACCTCGTGAAAGCCGAAACAGACAAGCAAACAAAATATCTGGACCTGGCTCACGAGGTGACCGACATGTGGGGTGGTCTGCCGACCGAAATTATTCCTGTAGTCGTCTCTGCAAACGGGCTAATCCCAGTCAGCCTCTCGGGTCATCTGAGGCGGCTGGGACTACGTGGCGGACCGCTCCAGGTTCAAATGCAGAAGGCGGTGCTCCTCGATACCGCCCGCATCGTCCGCCGGTTTCTTTCCCTTTCCCCCTAACCCTCGGCCGTTTGGTCTCCCCTGCCGAGGGCCTCCATCTGGTTGGGCTTTTATTTATTTATGTACTTTTATATTTATTTTATGTTATTGATATTTATGTATATTTGTCTTTTCATTTTCATTTATAATTATATATTTATAGCACCCAACCAGATGAGAAAACTATATAGATACCCCAAAATAATAATAATTTATTTTTTCTCTCCACATTAAATTAACAATATCGAATTTTAACAAAAAAAAGCACAAATTAATGTGAGAGACTGATGCCTAAACTAGGCGACGAACCTGTATTTCAGGTCATCAGGTCTCCCTCCCAGTTAAACAAATACAAAAGTATGTTATCTTGGAATACATATTTTAACAATAATGATACGTTATAATACATTTGCGCGTATATACATAATTTAACAATAATGCTACGTGTGTGTGTGTGTGTGTGTGTGTGTGTGTGTGTGTGTGTGTGTGTGTGTGTGTGTGTGTGTGTGCGTGCGTGTGCGTGTGCGTGTGCTGAGTGAATGCAAAAATTACAACATTTACACATGTGATTTAAAAATATCTTCCGTATATTTATAGTCCGTCTTCAGTAACCATTCATGGATACATTTTTTAGCTTTTATTTTAGGTAGGAAGTGAATATTAAGTTCCTTGTTAACTTTATTATAAAGGTATCCGCCAAGATAGCAAAAAAATCTTCTGGAAAATTAGGTACAATGGTCATAATGAGAAGTACACACTCGGTCTTTGCGTCTCGTGTGCTGTGTATTTTTTTTGGTCATATTTTAATTGTGCATGTTTTTTTAGTACTGTGTATATAATAAACAGTTGCCGGACTGTAAGAACTTTGGAAATTTTATAAAGTTGACTGGTATCTATGGACTGGATCATTATGGTACAGCTGTAGAACATCCGGTACTCTAGCTTTAGGGACGACCATTTGCAAATAACAGCGGTCTCCCCGAACATTTTCCCATTTACGGCACAGAACTCCATCCTGAAGCAGCAAGCTGTCCCATTGGGCACAATAGCTTTTAGTGGTCGAACTCATCACTGAGACGTCGCTCCATTTGGGCTTGGGAAAACTGGCCTCTAACCATTCCAGAATCGGCTTGATGTCCGGATCTTCCTGCTGTGCATGTAGTAAGCTGTCCTTCCACTCGTTGCTGAGGTGGTCTATTCTGAGCATCCTCACGGATACCACTTCCTTACTCTCTTGCCTAGTACAATGTTTGCAATCTTCAGGACAAGGTCTTCTTGACAATGCATCTGCGTTGCCGTGAGATTTCCCGCTGCGATATCTGATAGTAAAGTCGTATTCCTGCTGCTGCTGGGCGGTGATGTTAGCCACACCTCCCTTCTGCGATCGTTCACCTTCCCTTTCTAAAGTTCGCTTAGGGCAGCTGGATCGAAGATGGCCCCTTCCCCACAGCCATAGCACCTAGGGCTGTATCCTTTATTGTGATCGCGAACTGTAACTGCCGCAACCTCCCTAGCGTGAGGGAAACGATGATGCTGCCGCCGCCCGGCGGTGCCGTTAGCTGCACTACCCTCTCGAGATCGATCACCTTCCCTTTCTACAGTTCGCTTAGGGCAGCTGGATCGAAGATGGCCCCTTTCCCCACAGCCATAGCACCTAGGGCTGTATCCTTTGTTGCGGTCGCGAACTGTAGCTGCTGCAACCTCCCTGACGCGATGGGAACGATGATCATGTCGCACGGCTTCCACCTCCAGTGCATGGGCTAAGGCGTCCTTAAGCGTCTCGTGGTGCCCGAACCTCACAGCAGCTCTGACTTCCAGGTCGCGGATGCCGTCGATGAATGTCTGCACCAGGTTCCCTTCAATGAGCGCAGGTACGGACCGGTATGCATTTCGCACCAGCTTCTCCACCTCTAGAGCCCACTGCTGCAGGTTTGCGTTGATGCGCTGCACGCGATCTTTAAGCTGCGTACGAAAGACGTGTTCCAGGTGAGCGTCGCCATATCTCGCTTCCAATGCCTCAAGGAGTTGCTCATAAGTCACTTCCTCACCGAGAGCTTCCAGAACTGTTAAGGCCTGGTCGCGCAGGCTCAGTGTGAGAGCAGTCATGGCCTGGCTTTTATTCCAACCGTTCGCCTTCATAACAGCCTCAAACTGGATTTTGTAGGCCGACCAGGAAGAAGTCCCGCCGAACGGCGGCACTTTGAATCCACGTAGCGAAGGTGTTGTAGCTACTACGGGAGTTGTTTTTCCATTCCCAAGTTTGAGGTCGTCCAGCGTTTTCTTCACGTCAGCCACCACGTTGTCAACCCGATTGTTCACTTGGCCGATTCGGGTTTCAGCTTTCTTGATTCAGGTTTCAGCTTTCGCGATTTGAGTTTCAGCTTCCGATAGGCGGTTATCATGCTGAGCAACCCTATCCTTCACCTCGTTTATCTCCTTCCCGAAGGTAGCGTGAAACTCCTTCATGAAGATCATTTGCTCTTCCAACCGACGGGCCTGTTCATCCTGTCCGCTCTGCAGCTGCTCTTTCAACTGACGGACCGGTTCCTCCTGTCGGCGGGCCTGTTCCTCCCGTCATCGAGCCTGTTCCTCCTGCTGCTCTTTCAACAGACGGGCCTGTTCCTCTCGTCCACGCTGCAGCTGCTCCTGTAGCATCGCCATCAGAGTACCTAAGTCAGGTGCTGCAGATGTAGGAGCTATTGACGGGCCCGCAGCCTCCGTGGCTGGCAGTTGGCTCTCCAACGTCTGCGGCGTTGCACCACCAAATCCTTCACCTTCCGATTCCTCCTTCGGTAAAATCGGCATGATTTGATCCCACTTCTGACACCAATTGTTACGAGCTTAGGGTTCGTGACAATAAAAATTACCGATTGAATTACCGAAATTAACACTTTAATTCACTTTACACTAATTAAACTTAAAAACACTAATAATTAATCACACTGATTCACTTTATTCCGCTCCGAAGCTTCGCTTGTCTCGCTAAATTCAATACTTCCCCGATCGCACCTTGCAGCGCCTATAAATACACATTAGTACCGAATCATCCAGAACATTTAAGTAAATACGCGCACCAATCGACAAAGCGCCGAAAGTTCGAGAGTCAGCTTCCAGAAGCTTAGTTCTTCGTTTCGACAACAGATGGCGCTGTCGGTTGAAAGATTAGTGATGTCATTTTCTAGAAAGCTCTCCCCTCACTCCGTTACCCGACACTAGATGGCGCTAGTGCCAGATGTCAACTTAGCCGCGTACACACTACAATACTAAAAATATTTCATAAAGCTTTTTTAAATACGACCGCAATTCCTTAGTGGCGTTTTTCTTTTTTAAATTAGAGGGTATAGATATATTTCTTGAGGAACCAGTATAATCTATCTGTGCACAGTCACCCTAGTATAGGTTACATCTCGTTAGGGTGAGTATGTCTTGATCATTAATTTTAAAGAACCTATTGTCGGCGAAGTCACCCTTTCTCAACCCACATTCTTTCGACTTTGAAAGTTACCCAAAAACTATCGAAAACGAATTAAACACACCCTGGAAGCTACACAACTTTGTACAACAACTTTACCTGTGCTAAATTAGGCTCTCTAAATCCTGGCGTAAGCACTGTAGTCCTAATAAAGAGATTTTAATGACTTTATTAGGCTAACGCACATGTATGATATATATGTGCATTTAAATAACCCAAATGAGCGCAGCGTTTTAAAAAGTCTTAAAAATGCACAGAATACTTTCTTGTTTATGACTAAATCTTCTCCGTGATCGTGCACAATAATAAAAATAAATAACAATAACTAAAATTTATTTAACTTGCACAATGATGAATCAAAACAAAAGGCAACTATCTCGATTCACCAAAAACAATTTTTTTTCCATTCGTCCGTGACAAGCGTTAAGCTGCTTTATTATTTGTCAGAGTTAAACTTAATATTAATATCCATAATTAATACGTATTAAGTTGCTACTTATTATTATAAACAACGATAATTATAAAAAAATTATAATGCTTTGTGTAGTAATCGGAAGTCGCAAAAGCCCAGTAGTGCAGAACACTTTATCATTGATTATTAATTATTTATTATTATACAACTTGAATAATAATAATCGTTTGATAAGCCTTCAGCAAAGCTTATCTTACTTTTTCTTTACCCACAAGAAGCTTAGCCGTAGAAATGATAAAGGAATAAATGCTCATTTCTTATTCCAGTCTAAGGAATATTTTGTTTCTTAAATAACTCTATGCGTGAGTTTTATTTATGAAAATGAAATTAAAAGCTTAAAAATATACTGGCTATCTACACCCTTCAGACCGAAATACAGCAAGTAGGCACTGAACAAACCTAGTCAGTTTATTTCGATCCTACTTTCTATGGTATTTTGTAGCAAGTAATATAAACAATTTGTATAGATTATAAATATAATATATAGTTAGAAGTAGCATGCTGGCATTATATAAAAGACCCACTATCTAAATAAAAAAGATTATTTGGACCTGAGTTAACTCATTTATATCAAGAAACGAGACTTCGA